ATTCAAAAATGAAACAAGATAGTAGCTTTGATACTGAAAACTTTAAAAGTATGCAACCCAATGAAGATATTTAGTGATAGGACAAAGAGGAATCCGGAAGCAAAAATGCATAGGAAAGAATAAAGCAGTACAACCCAAGCAGCCTTAATAAAAAATGCGGTAATAAAAAATAAGTGAAGAAGATAGAATTTTGATTTTTAAAAACTATTGGGGTATTGTAAGCTCACATCGGTAAAGAGATTGGATCTAATCCTGTATGGTGCAAACCCCAATTAAACAAAAAAAGGCTAAGTCTTTCCGAAGATCAAAAACCATTGAATATTATATTCCATATATTCCATATAACAATGAAAAGGCAAAAGTTTTTACCAACAATTTTTAATTCAAACGCTTAATATTTCCCAAATGACGCTACGACATACGAAGAAAATGCCCTAACCAATAAGATGGCTAAATACAACCAAAGGGGAAAAAGAGACCACAAAAATAAATTTCTTTCTAATGAAGTCTCTTTGGTAAACAAATACATTAAACAACTACCGGTTATTCCTTCGCATTACTGTAGCAACAAAAGCAATAAATTATATTTCCAGTCGAGTTTAAGAACGTTAAAAATTTGTATCGGTTATACAAAATCTGTCTTGTTGCCTATGAAAAACTAACTGAAATTGTATCACTGGGTAAGTTTCGGAAAATATTCCGGTCAGATTTTCATATTGGTTTTTATCTGCCAACGAAAGATAAATGTAATCTTTGTGAGAAGATATAAGTATTTAAACAAGAGGAAGAAAAGAAGACAGAATCCTACAATCAACACATTAAAGATAAAGAAAAGTGCCTTGGAATTTTTTCAAAAAACCAAAATCTTTCAAAATAAGGATCTGTGCTGTGTGTCAGCTTTGATGTGGAGAAACATTGTATGAGAGCGGTTCTGCAAATGTTTATTATAGAATATAAAAATAACATTTCTGTTACCAGGACATACAACGATGCCCGTAGACTCCGTGCACAGTAGCATTGAACGTTTCAGCCGTGGTAAAACTGTGTGGTCTCCAATAGAATGGCCAACGGTTATACGCAATTCAAGAACGAATCGTTTTAACTATGTTACTGAGTCATTGAATTTTTAAAATTTTTCAAACTGGAAAGATTATGCTAAAATATTGATATTAAACAAATTCAAAATCAACATTAGTAAACTTTGTATAGCTATGTTTAATAAAAATAACCCACAAAGCTTTATTGTAAAGTATGGATTCTTTGATAATAGTGAACTGAAAACTATACATTTGCAAGAAACCTTAAAAACACGCCATAATCGTAATAGTAACAATACTGCTCCGCAACAAGTCTACAATAATCGACTTAAAATTTTGATAAGGGCGCTATCGCAGACTTCTTTTTATTACACCCTAGTGGTGATATTACAGGCTGCGTGATGGAAATAGATAACAAGGATACGTGACAGTGATTTTTGAGTATATCTCATTTTTTTTTAACAAATGTGTAATTTAAATAATTGTAATATTTTTCATTGATTCTCACCAAATAAAACACAATTAAAATAAATCATAATCAACGTTAATGCTTGAAATTTGAACACACGAAACATCGGAACTATGTCGACAAAAAGCGTAAGTGACAGTTATGCGAAAAATTTTAAAAACCAAACATCGTAAGTACCAGTTCTATTACAAAACACACTACGAAATAATATATTAAAAAATGTTTTACTTTCAATACTGATTGGTACGAATATTAATTAAAAAAAACCTCCTCCTGTAAAATTCCACTTTTGCTGTTTACAATGTTTTTCCTGAAAGTGCTTGATATGCCTCAGAAACAAGACCCGACACAACCACAACACAAAGGCTACTGGAATCGGCATAGATGAGAGTGAGAGTACTGAAAAGAGTTACAGGAAATACGCTGAGAGATCGACAGAGAAGCGAAGACATTAGAAGAAAATGTACCGTACAGTGTATAAGCTAATAGACAATAAATAAAAAAAATTAATGTAATAACCCCATAAGCAGAATATGGGAGACCTGTGTTGTCAAAGTAGTCGTCAAAGTGGTAAGTCAGCAGAAGTCTGGGACGACCGGGCAAGAGACGGAGTGTCAACCTTTTATAGATGTCTTAATTCGTCAATGAACAAGCTGAATTGCTTATAAAGAATAACAATAAGAAAAAGAAATTTAATAGGGTTTGACCTTGGAACAAGCTATGTATTAAGTATTAAGTTTTTAAGATTTTTCCTTTATAGTTCTAGCACATAAAGGCAGCAAAACAGATAGACAATTGACATAATGTATTGAGTCCTTAATAATAAATATTAAGAAGATAAAAAATTTTAATATAGTGTTTTTCCTCATAAATTCCCATATTCAACATATATGCTGGCGAAAATGAATGAATTTATTCAATATGCTAACGTGGAAAAAAACGAAATAAGTCCCAAACAAACAAGTCTTTTCTGGACCTTAAAACGTGAATTACTAAATTTTTAGGTAATTGAACTATATCTCAGTTTTAGTAATAGCGTCTTTGTAAGATACTTATAAATGGGACCATGGAGAAATTAATATATTATTTGAAAGCACCTGTATAAATCATTATCTTTATTGTGCCACCGTTTCAAAATTCCCACTAGATTATGAAAATCTTATTAAATCAACTCTCGATGAAAGTACAACCACAGAATAGTAAACAATCAGAATTCCCACTCTCCATGGAAAATTAAGTACGAGCATCTCCTTTGCGCAGACGTTCCGCCATGTTTTAGAGGGAACCAGTGTTGTTTATGTGGTGTGCATAGAAAAATTAACCCGGTTTAATTGAGTTATGGCAATCATAAACATACTATACAATTATATTAACATTGTTAAATATAATAACATAAATATAATATAATTAAACAAAAATATGAACAATTACATAACCTCACAAATCATATGTCCACATCATTATGTGTTTCCTTCTAAAAAATGGCGCGCGTGCTGAAAAACTTCAAAGGCGGCATCTGAGAGTGGACATTCTGTTTTTTTATTATTCTGTGGTATAACTCTTTCTTCCCAGATGGATTACATCACTAGTATCATATATATGCCAAAAAATCATAATTTCTTGATTTTTAAAATCTAAGTAACAAAAATTGGAACATAATAACTAAAAAAACATATTCTCTCGTTTGGATTGAACTCGCAACTTCTGGTTCTAAATACCGCGCTTCAACTCATTCAACTAGTAAACTTAAATAATAACGTGGCTAATTAATTTTATTATTTGACAAGAACATTAATTAAGATGTCAGTTTTTTTGTTGTATTTTGCGTATGTGTTTATTTATTTATTGTACTCCAAAAACGGGAAGGTTATTACGAATCATAGAAGTTCCAGGAAGAATATTTATTTGTAAAATACTTTGGCCAAAAGTATATATCTAGCGAATTAATATAAAATAATAATTATAACAATAAATATTAAATATATTTACAAAAGTAACATTATTACTCTCGAGAGAGACAGAGAGAAAATATATTTTCTGTCTTTCTCTTACCTATATCTTACATATATAATAATTCTATTAATAATTTTCTTAATATTTTAATAAAATACCCTAAAATGCATTGAAAAATTACTAATAAAAATTTTCACAAAACATCCTGGGTCATCAACTACCCGTTGAGCCCACAGGGGTAAAAAATAAAAAGAATAACTTTTATGCAATTAAATTTTATTTTATTTTCTTTTGATAAATTAAACATTTACTCCCTAAAATAAAAACAATGAAGCAGGCATAGTTTAATTTTATTACTTAAGGCTTAAAATAGTTTGGATGATAAACTGTGAAACATTTATAGTGGGGTGGAATTTCACATATATCGTATATGTGGATTGAGCAGAAATTATTGCATTATTTTGAGATTCAATAAGTTGAGCTGACTTTTCATAATTAGACAAAAGTGTACGAACTATATGTCTCCTAAATTCTAAGTTATCATTTTAATATTCAAATTGTGATGCTAGTGTCGAAGCCTTAGTTACACAAACATCTAGCATCGATATTCATATTGAAAAGTACATTTTTTCACGTATTTTTATTCTATAGTTCGATATAATGTTGTCTATTTGAATTTTTAGTTTTTACATACATCGCTATAATCGAAATTTTCCCAATACATTCTTCGCCTTGATAATGGAACGTAACCACTTAAGATTAAAATCCCCAAGAATACATACAATTTGTCAATGTCTATTGAAATATTTTGATTTGTCGAGGCAGCATAATTTATTGTCTCTTTATTTAAATACTCTATTGTTTTTCTGGTCATAAACAATTTAAAAAGACAACTAGACTGCTTTTAGTAGTAAAGGTTTACAACTGGTAATCTCGGAATACTAAGATCCGCACGTAATGTTGGTAAATTTATCATGTTTGACCATTTTCGTGGCATCTCTTTATTACCTATGAGAATTACATTTTGCACATGCTTTGATGCTTTGATTTCCAATCCGGAAATCATAGTCAACAAAGCTTTTGTAAAAACCTAAATCATTATCTCTCCTGTTGCCGACAAGAATGTAGAGCGAAGAATAATTTTTAAATAATTTTAAACTGTTTGTCCTTGTTTTAGTGTAGTTTTATGTACAATCTTTGTTCAATTTCATTTTTTTTTACATTCTGCGCTTGCTGGATAGCCCAAATTTGACGAAATGCCCCTGATGATGCTGTAGAAAGCGAAAGTACTTGGGCAAGATTTGATTATTAAAATTGTGCTCGATATTTGCCTTTAATTTTTGAAAAGTTCATTTATTCGAGCATTTTACCTTATATATATTTAAAACCTAAATCGTCAAAACAAATGTAAAATGTAATTCTTATAACAACTGTGGTTTAATGCTATATAATATAATATTTAATATTATTAATCGTATTAAATAGCAATCATTCAAAATTAACATGAAATTCACAGTTGTTAATTTACTATATTGTTTTAGAACGTAGAGGAAATATATGATCTTGCTGAAGAAATTACAGGAACAAAGAAACTTGATGACCTCTCCAGATTTACTGTGGAAACTAGGGACACGATTGTCAGTACAGTTACGAACTAGATGAACGCAATATGAACTAGAAAAAAATTCAGACATACGCACTATATATTAATAGTATTACTCATAAAATATGTGTGAAAAATATATGAACAAATTTTTAGTATAAGAATATTTAATACTTGACATGTTATTTATAGGACAATTTAAAATTGTGTATTTATCCAGTTACTTTTTATGTAAATAAATATATAATATGATTGTTATTTTTTATTACTAACCCTATACAAATACATCATAATAAAAATTTTATATCGTAGATTTCGTGCCAAATGATGAAAAAACATGTAACCAAATAGACCACATTCTGATAGATTCAAGACCATGGACGTATAAACATAGATGGACACAGCAATAAGATACCTTTAACACACAATGTTTTGAAGCTTCCATAGAATGTGATGCTTCCGCAATGAGCATAAGCGTTCTTGAATTTTTACTCGCGGGTAATTATTCAGATTTTAAAAATTGGAAGTAGTAATAATGTATACAAACACGTTCAAAGAATTTAAAAAAACGAGAGTTTAACTATTAACAAATCACGTCTTTATAGAAAAATTAAAATACAATTTTATTTGCTTTAAAATTAATACAATAAAATATAGTATTTTTAATAGGTATCAAAATAATGCTACAATAAAAAATCTTTATGTTTTCTCCTAAATTTGCTACCAAAATAGTTCGATCGTCAATATTATTTGGAAACCTACATAAAAAAATAAATGAGTTTTATTCATTTCACTAATTTATTTGCATCCATGAGAAATATTAAATTAAAAAGGTACTAAACAGATCTTTTTAATCAGATGATGTCTACTTACAATTTAAAAATGTCTACTAATTTCATGAACTTATATCTTATTCAATACAATAATGAACATGAATAAACCCAATGGTACGCCTATTAAAATGTAAACAAACACGCTTCCTCATTTCCTCATCTTAAATAATGTAAATTGTATGTACTTACAAATGAAATGAGAGATCGGGATGTATATATTTCGTTTATTTTATTTCACTTTTCACAAATATCACTCAAAATACAGCCAAAATATCGAAAAACAACTTTTACTAAAAAGTAAACAAACATGGAACAGCATTTGAAGTTTGACGTAGATCCATAAGACAGAGAAATGTAAACAACCGTTGCCATTTATAAATAGTTTTTAGTGCTTCTACATATAAAATAATTGATTGATATCTATTATACGCTATTATTAAATGATAATGCATACTTTATATTTTGATTACAATTAAATATATTAATCTAACCATTAAATTATTATTTTGGTTTAATAGCTCCTGTAGAGTATAAAATACGAAGTAATATTTTCAGAGACTCGCGAATAAGAAATTTTAAAACAAAACGTGACAACAGTTAAAGGTGCTGAGAATGTGACCTATTCAAATAACTTTGACTTCACAATTTTATGTAAATAACTGAGTAAATCTGTGTTTATACGTCCATGTTCAAGATACTAAGCAGCATTATTAATAACGAATATATATATATATATATATATATATATATATATATATATATATATATATATATATATATATATATATATATAACTTGGGACTACCTTGTCTATATATATATATATATATATATATATATATATATATATATATATATATATATATATATATATATATTTGTTAAAACCACGTCGAAAAAACAAAAAGAAAGATAGGACATAAAATCCTTCCAAAGGCTAAACAAAAAAAACCAAATATCAAATGGTCATAAGAAAAAGATCCAATTTACTAAGAGAGGAGGAGGATAAATTACATATCGAGTAAGCATGGCAGCCAATGGCATTAGTTACAGAACAAGTAGCACGGAAATTATTAGAAAAAATAGGAATTGACCAAAGCGAAAATGGTTTGACAAAGAATGCAAGAAAATTCTGGTAATAAAAACTAACAAAAGACTAGGAAAACTACAGATCTAAATATAAGAGCTACCTAGAACATTAAATACGAACAACAGAGAAAAGTACAGGAATAAATCAGGTAAGGAAATTATATAAGGAAGTAAAGATAGTCACACAACCTGAAAATGTTGGGGAACCAAAAGCCCTGAGAAATTAAATAGAAGAATAATTAATAATGACAGAATGAAAAATGTAACGATAGAAGAAATACTTTTGGAATTTACTAGGTCATAAAAAATTTTATGAATTTTTTATGAGAATATGTGCCTACGGAATCTAATGAAAATGCTATAGTACCCATAGGTGAAAAGGACATAAAAAACAATTTCGAAACTATAGAGGCACATCGCTTATTAACACAGCATATAAAGTTCTGACAGTTATCTTACTAAGGAGACTCATCCCCTATGCGAAAGATTTGACAGGCAACTGCCAGTGCGGTTTTTATGCTAGAAGGTCACCAATAGATTAAATATTTATAATACGATAAATTTGTATTATTAATACGAAATTTTATTAACACGAAAAACTAAAAATTCAACTGGGATGTCACCAAATCTTCGTAGATTTTCAGCAAGCATACGTTTGTATAAAGGATGAACAATGCTGGGAATGAGAATACCAATAAAATTTTTCAAGCCAACACAAATGTTCACAAAAAACTCGTATGTACAGGTGAACGTAGAAAATATAACATCAACGCCATTTAGTACAATATCAGGACTCAGACAATGGGACCCATTGTCACCATTGCTGTTCAGTTTTGTCATGGAACATTTAATAAGTAAAATATCGTCGGAGTTGACAAAGAGTTATGTCAATAGAGGTTTAAAACTGATATTGGCCTTTGCTGATAACATAGGTACAGTGCATTATTCTACAAAAGACGTGTTATAAGTTTTTACAACTCGAGGAGAAAGCAGATAATCTGAGTCCCCAAATAAATATCGAAAAGATGAAATACAGGCAATTAACCAAAAATCGCAGGTCTAAAATTAAACAAAACATAACTATTAATGATCACCACTTCGAAGTAGTAAAATATCTAGGACAAAAATCACAGATAATAACCAAGTAAAGAGAGAATTACTGCTAGGATTAAAGCATTATACGCTGTTTTTACGGTATTGTAATTTACTCTGTTAAAATGACAATCTAAACACTGTACAAGTTATTTGCCCATTTGTTACTTCTTATGGCAGTAAAGCCTAAACCCTCAATAAATGGAACATGTTTTCAGCTCCTAAATCCAAAGTAATTCCCTAATCTTTAACCAATCTATAACCCTAAACAGACTTTATTTACAAACAGTTAATTATTTGACACTTCTTGGTATCACCTTTGATACAAAGCTTATCTGAAGACAGCATATTCAGGAACTTAAAGGAAACTGTACCCAAAGAATCGATTTACTTAAATCTCTTGCTAGCTTCTCTTGGGGAGCTGATAAAGAATCTCTTCTTAAATATATATAGCGCTACTTTATTCTAAGCTAGATATGGCAGTATTCTTTATATGACATCTATTAACTTCCTGTTTAAGTCTCTAAACGCGATTCAAGATACATCCCTACGACTATGCTTTGGTGCTTGCAAATCAAGCCCCGCTGAAAGTGTTTTTGTTGAATCTTCAGAGTCATCACTCCATCTAAGAAGGCAACAGCTTTTACATCCATACTTTGTAAGAATATTAGCAAATTCAAGTAACTTGGTAATAAATATAATCAATCCCATAGAACCTCCCCCAGCAAACGCATCCAATCAGTCTTTAACATTACCATAAATATTACCTTCTTTATTAAATTCCATTATCCTTTTAAATACTTCTTCTATTCACACCCTCAAGACAGCTCCATGGATGCACAATCTTCCAATTTTCAATACTGATTTATGCAGATTCGACAAAACAAAAACCCCAAACTCAATCCTTAGAAAATCCTTCCAAAACATCCTCAATTTAACACAAGTTAATGAAATTTTATACACCGATGCCTCCAACGACTGCCCAAAAGTTGTAGTATCTACACTGCAGGATTATATGCAATATTACAAGTATTTAAGACTTAAATCCATCCTACTTCAAATGAAAGCATAAAAATCAGTATTTGTACTGATTCACTTTCGTCGATTCATTCAATAAGATATATTTTTTTGAAAAACCTACTAGTCCAAGAAATCCACACCATCTGTAACCAACTATATTCTCAAATATTCAAGAAAAAATCTTCAGCTTATATGCGGACCTGTGGAATAAAACAAAAACTTAGCTGCATGACGTTCAACCCAACTTATCCCGCGTCAATATCTCCTCTATGAACAGGAAAGACAAATCAGTTATTTACCGACTACGAATAAAGCATACACGTCTCACACATGGATACCTTATGGCATCAGACATCACTCCAGTATGCCTCTTTCCATGAAATATGTGATAGTGGACTACTGCCAGTATGAGTCTTCCAGAAACAAGCACAGCCTAAAAGGAAATCTAAAAGACATTCTTAGTGTTTCAAACCGGTTTGACAGTGTTCTTAAATAAAAAAAAAATAAGTTTAAACCAGCATAGAGGCAGCATATAAACAGTGCATAGTGATAAGCTTTATTATTTGAAGTAATTCTAAGCTAACCATAATTTTAAATAAAACAATAATAACCGAATATAAATAATCTGCTGGTATTTAAATAAAATATTCGCAGAATGATATTTGGGCTTTAGCGATGAAATAATACGAGAGTGGAAAATATGCCGTAATGCTAAATGGGCGAAAACGCGAAAATATTATACGATCAAAGGACAAAAGAGTATTAAAAACAGTTTTTTATACTAGTTGAGAGGAGATCAATAGGCTGTCCTTGGAAAATATAGAAGGATGCTGTCAAAGCAGGTTTATCTAGGATTAAGATAAAACGATGGAAAATTGCTAAAAGGCTAGCTCAGGCTCACCCCAAGTTATAAGGTTAGGTAAGAAAAAGAAAACTTTTTACTTTTCCGTAAATGGATCAAGCACTAGTGTCAGAATAGTTGCATGCATCTTTACGTTGATATCCAAATTATATATTGAAA